ATCAAAGATATCTTAGATAAATATATTAAAAAAGGATCTATTGTTCATACAGATTGTTGGAAAGGTTATTTGAATATCGATGAACTAGGATTCAAACATAAAACAGTTAACCATTCAGAAAATTTTGTGAATCCCAAAACAGGTGCACATATGAATACCATAGAAGGTTTGTGGAATGGCATCAAGTTACAGATTGCACCACGAAATCGAAATAAAGACTTAATTGAATTATACTTATTTGAATTTATTTGGTGCAAAGTAAACAAAAACAGACTCTGGGAAGCATTTATTGAAGCACTACGTTCCACAGCATATTACCAATCTGACGATATCACATTGTGACAATTGCATGCATTAGTACATGCTAAACTATAGTTCAGCCAAAAAAAGTATTAGGTATTACTATGTATAAAATAATTGATTTGTTTAAAATTAAGCTAAAATAAATTAGAAAATGATATAACAAATAGGATAAACTAATAATAACCCAACTATATATAAAATATCTTAATAGTGAAGTGAAGTCTAGATATTCTGATCTTGAGATTAAATTTGCTAACTGAATTCAAATTCAATATAATGAATTAAAACTAGTTAGTTATAACATAATGCAGGTTAAAGCAGCAGTTTTAGCAAAATCTTAGCAATATATTTTCTAATATCTTAATATTGATTAGTTTAGATAAAGTAGTAAATAGTTTATAGGTTTTTTAAATTATTATAATTTTAATAACCATTATAAAACAACTGACATGCAACACTTATCTGCAAATTTGAAAACAAAGAGCCAAGAATTTTTAAATTTTGTTTAGTACTATCATCTTCAGTATAATTACTCATTGTTATTAATAAGTAATATAAATAAAACCTTTCTTTATTTTAATATATTAAATAATATAATCATTAATAATACAGAATATAAAACTATTAGTATTAGAACTTGTGATTATAAAAAATCTTATTTTATTGTCATACTTATTTGCATAACAAATAGTAAAAAATTATCACTAATAATTATTTTTAAACTAAAAAATATTATAAAGCTTCAGTTTTTGTCTGGTATAATATTAGAGTAAATAAAAAAAAATAGATAAATAAAACAAAAATAATGTATTAAATAGATGCAATTTGGAATAATTAAACATCATATGCTAAAAATCTATAATTACTATATGTAAAAAGATTCTTTTAAAAGTTACTTGGTTTCTTTTATTAAAAATAATCTTTTTTAAAAAAATACTAATATTATATTTATTTCTGGAATGTTAGCATCAAAATTATAACTACTTGATGTATTGATTAACAAATCTTTTAAAACAAAAGTTTTAATTTTATTTTTATATATAGTTTTATGCTTATTATTTTATTTATATATACTTATTAATAAATCAGATTTATATATAATTAATAGATAGTACAAAAAATAAAAGAATTAATATCAGTTAGTCAAATAAAATATCTACTATATAATGTTATTGCAGAATGCATTCAATATGCATAGGATGCTATTGATACTCAACTTATTAAATGTTTTTTTAAATATTGTGATATTTTAGTTTTAAGTGACAGATTAGAAGAAAATTTAATTTTTAATTATAATCAAGTTGAAGATTATAAAGTTAAAAGCTCTAAAGATAATGACTTTGAAGCTAATAAACTTATTTTATTAAAAAAAAATAATCTAAATTCAACAAAACTTCAACTTTAGCAACATTTGTACTATTAAGTTATCTTATTTTATCATGATTCTTTATCTTAGCAACATTTTTTATTCCAACAAGACTCTTCATTTTAATAATACTTTTTATCTTAACAAGTCTCTTTTTAATAATATCTTCTGTTCTAATAAAATTTTATAATCTAGTAATGCTTTTTGTTTTAATCTTATTTTTTGAATCAATTAAATTCTTTAGATATTCAGAAGTTAGAATTTGAATACTAAGGTAAGTATAGGTATTTGATGTATTATCAATTATAGCACAGTTATAATATCTAGTAACTTATTAATCAAAACTATGTAATTTTGGTACCAATTAATTCATCTTACTGGAATGAAGCAATTGGTACTAAAATCATACAATTCTGATTACTAGATCACAAGATATTGCTACTAAAGTAATAGTTATTAACATTTTTATAAGTTTTGTAAAGAGGAATATACAGTTATTAAAAAAAATTTTTTTTGGATTATTTGCTTTTTTAAATAACTAAGTAAAAAAGATCGATGATCTCTCTCTTCTGACCATCATGTTTAGAAAAGAGAGTAATTTTAAAAGACAAAATAAACTTGACTCAAGGCTTTACTAATTTCAAAAACAGTAGCAGAACAGGGGCTCTTTCTCTTGTTCCTAGAAAGCACAAGACTTTTATCTTTGAAGTCTACAGAAATAAGAAAACTAAACTGGCAACAAGTCTTTTGATAAAAAAACAACTAACCAAAACTGTAGCTAATTTTCTTCTTGGAAAAAATATTATGGCAACAAAAACTATTTATGATGATTTAACTATTGCTATGTAAAATGACTCTTTAGATAGTATTAGTTGAGATGAACAAGTTACTTTGGAGAATGAAAAGAGACTTCTTGAAGAAATAATAGACCAAAATAATAATACAGTCACGTCTAGTTCCAAAACATGTCTTGAAAAACAAAATAATAAGAAAAACAAAACTACAACATCTCATATAGAACAAAACAACACATCTTTTGCAAAACCTGATGCAACAGATACAAACAAAAACAAAGGGACCTCAAGTAAATCATGGTCAAGCCTTTTCGCAAAAGTCAAAAGAGAACAGTCAACCTTTTTTTCATTCTCACCAAGAAACAACATAAGATCTAAAAATAATAATGTGCTCATACTAAATATCCATAATCTTAATAGTTCATTAAATGAAATTATAATCTCACTCTATGAGACAGCAGGACATGACATAATTGCTGCTAAGCCATACATAAATAGGAGATCTCGTACTCATTTAGAACTAATCTTTACTAATAAGGAAAAGCTCAAACACTATGCTACAAAAGGGGTTAAAAATTTTAATCATACATACTATGAACATATTCCAGTTGACTCTAGAAGATCCTTTTTGCCAGTTAAGATTAGAAATATTCCTTTAGAGAATAAGGAATTTATTTCGAAAAGAATTAAAAATGCTTTTGAGAACTTTGGTAAAATTGCCTCAATTAAGCCACTATTAATAGAAGGCACACCTTATCTAACTGACCAGTAGATTATTACTTTTAAGACCACAGATGATGCAGATTTAGAAAAAAGAATTCTCTGATTTTATATTTTTACTTGATAACAAGATCACTACAGAATGGCATACAGTTTCCAAGCTCTGCTACTTCTGTAACAATGAGAGACATATTAAAAAAGACTGCAAGCAGTACCAGAAAGCTATCGAGCTCCATCATCAATATAAAAAATTTCTTTCTAACAAAAGAAAAGGAAAACTTCCATCAGGAGGCTTGGAAAATACAAATACAATCTAGCAAGAACAAAACAACATCTTAGAAAAGCTAAATATTAAAGAGCATCAATAAGAAGAAATTCTTTTAAATACAGCTATTAGCAAAGAAAATAATGAAACAAACAGCACTATACCAGCAGAAAAAGATCTCAATTATCCAGTTGAGAAAGTCATAGATGGCATCAATGATAAAGCACCTGTTATAGAAAATCTAGCTACAGGTCCTTCAATAGAAATTGAAAAACAAAAAACTCTAAACATTCCAGTTGTACTAATTGCAAATGACAACAAGCTACAACTCCAATCAGAAAACTCAAATAATGGATACACCTTAATTCTACAAAGAAAAAAAAAGGACAAAAAAAGTAAAAAAGATCTTACAAATTGAAAGTTGAGACAACTAGGCCTGCTTCTCACAAAAAAATCTCATAATAGAGTACAGAATTTACAGATTTGAAATTTGTACTACTCTATCTTAATATAACTGGATATTTTAAATTTAAAATTGCAAGCCTTAACATAAAGGACTAAAAAATCAACAAAAACAATGAAACACTTTAACTTTTTTAAAATCTTACAAACTAGACTTTATTATATTACAAAAAACAAACTTAAATGATAAAAACACACAGAGCTTTCTTAAAAATCAGTGAATTTTTGATTCAATCTGATCAAACAAGACAGCTATACTCACAGGCAACAAAGATATTATATTTAAGAATACAAAAATAGATTTAGACAATAGAATTATTACTACTAATTTCAAATTCAAAGATCTTATATTCCAAATCTCCAATATATATGCATCTCCTAATTCAAACGATAGAAAGCTTTTCTTTGAGAAATAGTCACCACAAATCAATAAAGATGCCATCAATATAATTGAAGGTGACTTCAACACTAATTTATATCCTAAAAAGGATAGAACTAGTAAAGCAGCTTCTCAATGAGATCCAACAAGAATACAACTTCTAAACCTTACTAGAAACTTTACAGATACCTCAGATTTTGCCAAAACAAGACCTTTTTATATATTTTTCAAAAAACACAAGGCAATTGAACAATGGCTACACATTTAGATTATATTTTCATTGATGAGAATAATGCTCATCTAATCTCACAAATTGATACTAGGTTTGGCAACTCAGACTATCTTCTGGTATAATGCACTCTTCTCTTTAAAGCCAAAGGAAAGGAGTCAGCTCTTTAGAGATTTAATAAAAGCTGCTTTCTAAATAAAAGACTGAAAAAAGAAGTGCTAGAAGAAATTATAGAATTTGAAGAAGCTAATGACTGAGACTATTGTAAAGTCCATATTCAATCTATTATAAGAGCATTCAGAAAACCAAAAGCCACAGAAAACAAGATTACAAAGCTAAACAAAAATATAATTCAGCTAAAAGAATGACTGGCTCACAACTCAGAAAATTCCTTTTTATACAATCAAATAGATAGACTAAGCCTAAATCTTCAAGATGAACTATCACATTTTACAGAAAAATGGCAAATTTGCTTAAAAGCACAATAGATTGAGCAGGAAGAAAAATCTACAAAATACTTTTTTACTATATACAAAATCAGAAAAGCACATTCATCTTTAAAAAACATCAAGGATCCTAAGGCCTCATCACAATCATGTGAAAATACTCTTTAATATATCAAAGATACATATGCTAAAATTTACAAAAAAGAAGATATAAATATAAACTTAGTCAAAAAGATTACAGAAGATCTGTTTCAAGCTTTATTAGCTCACAACTTTTTTTTTTTTATTAAAGCCGATGTTATCGGTAGCTACTGCTTTTATTTGTGTTTTTGATCAATGCATTATATATGACTTGTACAAGGTAAGTGTGCAACTAGCCACACATGTAACTTT